CCTTTTATCAAATATTTCTCAAGAACAGCATGAGCATATTTGGAATTTAACTCTAAAACGCATTCTGCTAAATATCTGAGTATGGGGATACCACATGTGTGAGACTTTTTCTCAGCCTACCTTCACAAAGAAGCCCAAAATCCAAGAAATATCTTTAGCCTAGATTCACACTTATGAGGTCCAGGAAATGCAGCAATCCCTGCACGTTTCCCGCACCGCATTGCAATCGCACTGCCCTTGCAATCTGCAGCAAGAGTAAACACAAAGTTAATGACACCCCAAACAAAGGACACAAATGCAGTGCATTAGCCTGCACTGGATCAAACCAGATGGCATGGTATTAAACACTTGGTTCTGTGGCAGTGTGGCCCATAAATAGGTGCATGTACATTTTTGGTGCCATGCGGTGCAATTTGAGCCCATTCAAAATAAAAGGGCTCAAATCGCACTGCACTGAATCGCATGTGAATTACACAGGAATGCCGTGCGGTTCCTGTGTGATTCACATGCTGGTTATAGTGTGAAACAAGGTTTAATCTTTCAAGGGGCAAACATTATGCATCTAATTTCCTGCCTACCTGTCAAATATTTGGAGACCCTAGAGTTCTAGGACAGTAGAAACACCCACAAAATGCAGCTACCCCAGTATATTTTCTAAGAGACATGGTGAATCTTTTGAAGATTTCCTTTTTCACCACTAATTTTTGGAAACTGGAGAAGATATTTCTTACACGCAGCATCTGTGTACTTGAACAAGCTGGTTACCAGCACACTAATTGTGGCTGACACTGGTACTATATGAGACTGTGCTGGTTCTGGCTGGCAATCAAGAGACTGGTTCTGGCTCACACTGTACTAAAACACTGGTACTGGTATAGTTGCCGATCAGGACACTGATGCTGGTTTACACTGGTACATGTACTGGTGGCAATCAGCATTTGAAACTCCCACTTTCCTCTCACAGCTGATAGGGGGGACAGCAAGTGGTCATTTGTGCATTTACGTGTTGGTGGTAGCTGGTACTAAAACACTGGTACTAGTGCTTAATTGGGATCAGCACAATGGTTGTGACTCACACTGGTACTTGACAACACTGGTACTAGTGGTGACTGGCAAATCAAGACACAGTTTGAAGAAGGAAAGTTTAAAAAAGACATACTACAACCATACAAGGTGCACACTTCCACAAACAATCTGGTTGGCATTGGATGATCATTAGAAAAGGGTGGGAAGAAATTAAAATGGATTAATTGTAGTTACTGGCTGTACATTCCAGTCTCACACTTGCACAATGTGAAGGTATGCATTTTAGACTATTTGTACATTAAGAGAGTGAATAAGATTTAGATTATAGTAGGCCTCTTATCTTAGGTGGGGAGGTGTGATCCCTATATGAATGCATTCAAATATACCAAATCATTTAGGCACAGCTCTCAGCCTCAGTTTATGGTAAATGCATTGGAATCCATTTATGCTTCAAACCCACTTGCAAGATTACAATGCCAAAAAAAGCTCTTACCAAATTAGTATGCAGTGTCACATAACTGACAAACATCAGGGGATGCCTACCTTTTATAATCTCATCCCTTGCAAGAAACCAAGGAAGGGCATCTGTCAGGGCCTGGGCTTGAACCCAGGACCTTGGCTGTATCTGGCAGTAACTCTTCTCACTGAGCTACCAGGAATACTGGACAGAATTCTGTCTGATCCATTGGACAATCCTGCCTTGTGCCTTGTTTTCTGCTGAACTTTGAACTCCTTGCTCCTCCCATGAACTTCCTGATTTAAGCCATGCCTTTGCACTTCCCATTTGCCAGATTATTGTACCTTTTCCAGCCAATATCTCGCTCTTGTCCCTCCTGCTGCCATCCATACTTTTGCTACTGCTCGTTACTGACTTTTGGCTTGTTGCTCGACCAAGCTTCTGCCCAATCTCACCCTGCAACCACTTGTTACTGACCTTCAGCTTGTTTACTGACTAAGATTCTGTTTGATGCCTACCTGCTATCTCTGCTACTGGACTCTGGCTTGCTCACCTCCTGGTGGGGCAATCCTGAGGACAGCAACCTGGTACTAACACGCATCCAACCAATCTCCACCATCAGGAGCTCTGGTGAATACCGGTTAGTGCTAGAGGAAGGAGAGTTTAGGAATGTTCAGAAATAATGGTGGAATGCATTTCTCTATTAATCAGTTCATTCAGAAGGATCTAAAAGTTTCTCCAGATTCTAACACACCCGAACCTATGCAGATCAATGCTGTTAAGAGATCCATTTCTACTCAAGAGAGAAGACGCTCTGAGAACTTATGTCTATATTGTGGGGACTCTGGGCATTATACAGTTACTGCAACTGACATAATGAAGATCTCCTGCTTTTTTGTTTTTGGTGTATATGCACCTATTTGGACTTGGTTGTTTTAAGTTTTTTTATTCTTATTTATTTTTTCATTTTTCGTTTTTTTTTTTTTAATGTTTACGGACTATTATATGTTAACTTATTTTTTTGATGTGTTTGCTCATAAATATACTTTTTGTATGTGTGTTTTTTGGCACTATTGTATTTAGTTGATCCCACATTTAGGGATCCATTTTTATGTCACTATTTACTTTCAAGATGGCTTAATTTAGCCATTATTTGTCACGATCTGCATGATATTGTTGATCCCTGTTAGGGGTTCATGTTCTCATTTTCACCATCATTTGCATGTATTTATTGAGCAATTAAGGAAGCTTTTTCCGAATGGAGGCAGCTGCTGGAAGGGGCGAAGCATCCTGTGACTGTTCTCACTGATCATAAAAACGTATAATGAATTCGTTCTCCCAAGAGATTGTCTTTTAGACAAGCACATTGGCCACTGTTCTTTTCCAGGTTTAATTTTATTATCTTGTGTTGACCCGGGTCAAGAAATGGTAAGGCAGATGCCTTTTCACGGATACTGGTCCTCTTCAGGAAAACAACTCTGAATGCTCAATCCTGCCTCAAAAGAATTTCATAGGGGCCATAAATTCTAAGATATTCTTGAATCTTCTCAAAGAGGGGTATGAGAATAACCCACTGCTCAAGTATCCACCTAAGAACATTAACCTGGCTTATAAGAAAGGTTTTTGGATCCAAGGGCATCATCGCTATGTACCTGAACTTGTGCGGGTTGAAGCCCTTAGGTTAGTTCATTATTCCAAACTTGCTGGGTATTTTGGTGTTTCTAAGACAGAAGAACTTTTATCAAGTTCCTTTTGGTGGCCTGGTTATAAGAAAGATGTCAAAAGCTATGTAACCTCATGCCTGACATTTGCGCGCAATAAGTCTCCCCGAGCTTCTCCTTTAGGGTTGCTTCAGCCACTCCCTGTTCCATCAAAACCCTGGGGGTCAATTTCTTTGGACTTTGTGGTTGATTTACCTCCTCAAAAGGAATGACCGCTATATTGGTAGTTGTCAACCATCTCACAAAGATTGCTTATTTTATTCCAGTTAAAATGGTACCCTCTGCCAATCAAACTGCAGAACTGATGGTACGAGAAGTCTTGAAACTACATGGAATCCCTGATGACAAGTGCAGTTTACTTCAAAATTCTGGAAAAGCTTCTGCTCAGCATTAGGTGTTACAATTAATCTGTCCTTTTGCTTTTCACCACCAGTTTAATGTTCAAACCGAGAGGACCAATCAAACTCTGGAACAATATCTTCAATGTTTTGTCAGTTATTTCAGGATGATTGGGTGGACTGTCTTCCTACAGCAGAGTTTGCATATAATAATTCCAAATATAGCTCCACTTTTCAAAGTCCTTTTTACTTAAACACTGGCTATCATCCAGTTTTATTCCTGATCTCCCTATCACAACTCCAATTCCTGCTGTTACTAACAGATTAATTACATTGCAGGAAACTCAGGAGAAATTGATTGAGACATTGAGGGCAGCTAAAGAATGAGCTACAAAAAGGCTGCCAACAGGCATCACAGATCACTACCTACAGTACCTTTCATATGGGTGACAAAGTTTGGTTGTTAACCAAAAATCTAAAGCTTCATGTTCCACCTGCTATGTTGGGTCATAATTTTGTGGGTCCTTTTCAGATTTTATGCTCAAATCAACCCAGTCACCTTTTGTTTACAAATTCCTGACAGTTTGAAGATTCACCCTGTTCTTCACATATCGCTACTCAAACCAGTAATTTCAGGGTATGGACTTGAACCTGGGACCTCTACTGTGTCTGGTAGTAACTCTTCTCACTGAGCTACCAGGAATGCTGGACAGCACCCTGTCTGATCCATTAAACAATCCTGCCTTGCTATTTGTTTTCTGCTGTACCTTGAACTCTTTGCTCCCCCCATGAACTTCCTTATTGAAGGCATGTCTTTGCATTTCCTGTCACCAGATTATTGTTCCCGAGCTTTGGCCTGTTTACTGACTACACTTCTGTTTGAGGCCTACCTGCTATTTCTGCTACTGGAATCTGGCTTGCTTACCTCCTGGTGGGGCGATCCTGAGGACAGCAACCTGATACTAACATGCAGCAAAACCCATTTCCACCATCATGAGCTATGGTAAATACCAGTTAGTGCTTAGCACAAACCTCACCTCAGGTGAGCCCACATCATCTGCCAGGGTGACCTGCTTGTATACCATTCTGCTGGTTGGTGGGAGCTTTTCTGCTGCTATAGCTACTGGTTTCCGAGCCTGACACCTGACCATGACAGCATCATCAGTGGTGATCCAACATTGGTGTTAAACTATAAGATATTTTTACAATAGAAAAAAAGTTCCACACTATTTCTATCACCAAAGGTTGACCTGAAATGAAGGAAGGCTGACCTAGCTAAGGGTTACAAGATGATTTAAAAATGTTGCAAGGATCCACCTCCTACTTTCTACAATGAAGAAAGAATTGTGTTTAGGACTTGAAAATGAAGGTAAAATTTAATAAAAGGCGTATACCATATTTTTTGCTCCATGTCTGTGCGTCTTATGGAGCGAATATGGAGTGGCCGGCCCAGAATTCTTCTGTGCTCCTCGGTCCTACTTGTTCTTTGGTCCAGCGCTGTCCTCACCATCTTCTCTCTCGGGGACGGCATCTTTAGTGTGGGCACCTGACTGTGACAACTGTATGTAGCTTCACAGCCAGGTGCCCACTGAGCATGCGCGAGAAGTGCTGCACTTTGTGAATGGTCCAGCAGTCTTCTGGGACCTGTCATGTGTCCCAGAAGACAGGGAGGGAGGACAACTCCGCGGAAGTGGGAGCGGGTACCTGTAAAATTTGGGTATCTGCTCCCCCCCTCCTCTGCTCATCAAAGGTCTGCAGTGTTTGGTCATCTCCTGTACTGTGTCCGCAGTCTCTGGTCATCTCCTGTACTATGTCCGCAGTCTCTGGTCATCTCCTGTACTGTGTCTGCAGTCTCTGGTCATCTCCTGTACTATGTCCGCAGTCTCTGGTCATCTCCTGTACTGTGTCTGCAGTCTCTGGTCATCTCCTGTACTGTGTCCGCAGTCTCTGGTCATCCTCTGTACTATGTCCGCAGTCTCTGGTCATCTCCTGTACTGTGTCTGCAGTCTCTGGTCATCTCCTGTACTATGTCCGCAGTCTCTGGTCATCTCCTGTACTGTGTCTGCAGTCTCTGGTCATCCCCTGTACTGTGTCTGTAGTCCACAGAATATTTTTTTCTTGTTTTCCTCCTCTAAAACCTAGGTGCGTCTCATGGTCAGGTACGTCTTATGGAGCGAAAAATACAGTATTTGCTTTTTATATCCTATACAACAATTTCTAAAAACTACAATTAAGAGAAAATATAGTGAAACTTATGCACAAAGTAATTTTCAAAAATCTTACTAAAAATAAAACATGAATCACTGTTCAGCTAATAAATAAGAAAGCAAAAGTCACAAAAAGGTACAAATAAGTGACCTAAATGAATATTTTACTTTACAGTATACTTTATATATCAACTTTTTGACGTCATACTAAGAATACGTTTTTGGAATATTTGGCCACATTCTCATGCATCTGTGCACATTACCACACATCTTTTTTTCTGAGAACAATGAAGTTGCAGAAATTGCTGAAGGGCACATATTATTGAACTTTTTTTATGAAAAGGTCAGAAATTGATAGGATCTTCCAGAAAGCCAAGCTACCCCAAATTAGCAGACCTTTCTTTGCCTTTTGTTTTTGATGGTGACAAGGCATTTGTCTTCCCAGAAAAAAGAAGAATGTATTTAATTATAACAGCCAGACATGTTGCATGGTTCAAACCAAGTGGCAGGCCAGCTTTCTGCTGTTGTTCCCTAAGGCCCAGGGGCTGGAAGTTACTCCCTCAGTGACTTTAGAACTCTTCTGAGTTAGAAGTATTCAGATACCTCAACTTGTGACAATGAAATTCACAACACAGGTGAATGTGAAAACACAGGTACAGTCCCCATATTTAATGATGTGCTCATGATTACAGAGCTGCATTAAAGTGGTATTAAACCCAAAAGCAAATATTATTACACTACAGCTTATCATTTCTTAGATGTAATGGCTTCATTTGTTTTCTTTGTTAGGCTTTCTTTTTTCTATTTCACCTGGTGATCCAGCCAGTAAGTCTGTTGTTTTTCAAGAGAACACGCTCTCTAACAGAATGTATTATTTACAGAAATGAGACAATCCATATAACACTAGCAGAGGTGCTTACAATGATCAGCTTTTATTTACTGTATTTATGTAAAATCTTCATTCCAAAAGGAAACAAACTGTTGCTGTAACTGATTATAAAGTAGGGGCTGGAGTTTGACCTCAATTTGTTAGTGTATTCAAATCTGCTAGTGCATCTAAGACTCCAATCCTCCTAGACTATGTTGCGGTCCAGAGGTGCCCCCTGTGCTCATTCATCCAGAGTGGGGGCACTATAATACAAGAGATGTGTTACTAGCCAGATCACCAGGTGAAAACAGATAGAAAAAGCTTAAAGGATAAGTTCACCTGCAAGTTGTTTGCAATAAGATTTGTACATTTTTACCAAAAAGGCCTAACTTTGAACACTCCCACACCATATGAAAGAATGTCCTTTCAATTATCTGGCAGTTATGACACAATGGGTTATCTCTCTTCCCCATCTATATAGTCTGACAGAAGTGTAATATGTTTGGTGGTGATATCTCAGGTATCATTTTATCTTTGGAGGATATGACAGTGTTCAGATATGTAGTCAGCACTTCTGTCCAAGCCTCCTTTGATAGCTTGTGTAAATACAACATCTATCTCTGAAGTGATGACAGGCATTGGAATGAATCTGATTTAGTGAGATAAAATATCTAGACATCAGTTTATTGTCTTCAGAAGATATAAGAAGAGACAGTGGCCCTGCCACAGTGTAAAAATGGTCATCTATCATTTAGGATTCTCATTCAGATAGGCTTTAGGGTGCTTGTGTCTTTCAGAGGTCAGTTTCCACTGTGGTTGCTTAAAACCGGATTTAGGACTGAAGTCTAGAGATGTTATAGGGACTTGGGTGGGATGAAGTCTCCAATCCTGGGACTAGGTTTTCCAGACAATCTGCACACTGATTGTGCAGGTGTATCTTGGACAATTAGGAGAACCATGACTATGGTTCTGGTACTCCCCCTAACAGACGGAGGTCTCTGTCCAGGTTGTTCAGGAAGACTCCACCTAGAAAACATCTGGGAGCCAGAGAATCAAAGGGCTGTTAAGTGTATGGATAAAGCTTTTGTGTGAGGACTGTCTGTACAGACAAGGGCTTCAGAACTGCAATGAAGCACCTGTGCAAGCCAAGAAAAAGAAGATTCAGTGAGAAGATATGTCTTTAAACCTCTATCAATTGAAATGAGTACTCAAGGTCCTGAAAAGACATTCTTGGCATTTAAATGATGTTCATATTTTATACTATATTGGGCCCAGCTAAACCCTTCCTCTAGTTTAAAAATATTCCTCCAAGTATGGATTAAACCACAAGGGGGCATTGGGAGATTGGGTCAGTGTAGTGTCTGAAATAAATTTGAAGCAGACATTAAAAGTTTTTGATATATATATATATATATATATATCCTTTACTCCATCTGTGAGAATCTCCTGTCTATAATGGTGATTTATAAGAAGCAGCTTTTGTAGCTGTGGTGGCATTATGTAAAGTGATATTAAATGCATTTTTTTTTCTTTAATAACAAAGATATTATACTTACCTTCTCTGTGCAGTGGCTTTGCACAGAGCAGACTCAATCCTCCTCTTCTTTAGTCCCCAAAGAATGCATGAAGGTAAAACTCCTTGAGCCTGTACAACCACTTTATTTGAGGGAAAATCCACCAATGTACTGTATATATATATATATATTTGAGATGCTAATAATACATCTTTAAATCAGAAAGTGCTAGTGCTCACTTGGTGTTTGGTAATTGCACAGTATCATACGATATCAGTTTCTTGGTTTAGAGGTTCCCCATAGCATAGTGAATTAAAGAATCAGATAGTCTGTTTAGTAATATACAAGGGTTCTTCAAAAGTTTCTGCAATTTTTGACCATATGTATATACTGTATGTAGCACTGTCCCCTTGAAGGCCGCTGAGTTGTTTTCAGGTTCCCTGTCTACCTGAACCTACTTAGGAAGGCCAACCCCTGCTGACACCACCTTAAACCTTTTGGTCGGAAGAACCCTCTGGCTTTTTATAATAAAATAGACTCACACACAGGTTAGAGTAAACTGACACTGATTATTTTTGAGTTCAAATGGTTAGCACAGTAAAATGAAGCTCATTAAGATGACAAGAAGATATGTGCAAAAAAAAGACATATTAATAAACTCAAACAAGGGTTGCAACGTAGCAGGGTAGGAGTTCTCCAAAGAAGGTGAACATACAGTAAAGTAAGAAGCTGCTCCCTTAAGTGATACTGAAATAGGATGGTGTCCCTTTAACACTCCTGGGAAGAAACCATAGAATTAGGCTGAGATTGAGAAAAAAGAGGGAGGGAGCAGAACACACTCCTGTAGTAGAATAGGAAGGTTCCCTGGTGAGTGGTGCAAACGGAGTCTGAGGCACCAAGTCAGCTTGACCAGCAGGGTGCAGATATTGAAGTAGTCTCTTCTGATTTAGTATGTTGAGAGTGTGTAATTATTAGTAGGCAAGATGGTCCAAACAATCTAGGCCATAACATTTGTAACTTGTAGAATGGGGAATACGAAGCTGAGAAAAGAGTAGCTGAGTTTAACAATGTTTTTTGTAGCTTAGATATTTTGGGGTATGGAGATCTCTCACCAGATCTGTGGCCACGGTCAGGTAGTAGATAGTTTGTCTGCAGATGGGGGCCCCCATATTTTTCAGATTCCTCCAACACTCACTCAGATGATAGCACTCCAGTCAGCACTCCAGTCTTCCTGTTTGCTAGGTTGCCATTCCTGCTTGCCAGTGGTCAATGGTCTCCAGTTTTCTCTCCAGCTCTCGCTGTCCACCTCCCCCTCTGGTTCTAGAACTTTGGTATTTATCTAACCCAGCCTATCAGCCAGCTACTCTGGGAAATTTAGTTTGTGATCTCCACAACAGAAAGCTAAGTTCTGCTAGCAGCCTACAAGTCCCACAAATCTTTGGCAGAGTCAAACTGGGCTGCAGAATGCTGCCATCTTGTGTCCATTTTAGCATCCTGCACCCAATAATTCTGCAGGGTGTTACAGATACACAGTGTATCAGTGTATGTGTTTTTATATATATATATATATATATATATATATATATATATATACAGGTACTCCTCGCTTAACGACCGAGTTCCGTTTCAACGACTTGGTCGTTAAGCGAATTGGTCGTTAAGTGAGGAACTGCATGTACTGTATACAGTAGTACAATATATGCATAGTATTTGACAATACAGTATTCTGAATAAGTAAAATAACAAGAAAGATCAAACTGAAAACTTCCACTTGTCTTAATTTGCATAGGTTGTGTAATTTACACACAGTACTGGAATGTTGTATTACAGAACATAAAGTTAGCAAAGTACGGTCGTAACGGTGAAGAGATGGTCGTAAGTGCGAGCGGTCGCTAAACAGGTAGGTCGTTAAGCAAGGAGTGTCTGTATATATATATATATATATATATATATATATATAATATAGTGCTCAGCATAAATGAAGAGACCCCTTTGAAAAGTAAGATTTTATTCAATATCTCAATGAACACGAAAACAATTTCCAAAATTTTGTCAAAACTGAGTTTTATAGAACATTTGTTTAGCTCATTACATTAAAGTAAGGTTACTAATAAAACCTAGATTTACAAAATCATCAGTTTTACTCAAATTAGGTGATGCAAAAAAGAATACACCCCACAACAAAAACCACTGCATCTATTATTTTGTATGACCTCCATGATTTGTAAGGGCAGCACCTTCTGAAGTCTTCTAAGCATTGAATGAACAAGTTGGTGACATATTACAACATCTTTTTATTTATTTATTTAAGGTACTTATATAACACCTTCAATTTACGCAGCACTTTACACGTATATATTGTACATTCACATCAGTCCCTAACCCTCAAGGGGTGTACAATCTAAGGTATCTTTTTCCATTCTTAAAAAACGACCTCTTTTAGAGCCTGGATGCTGGATGGAGAGTGATGCTCAACCTGTCTCTTCAGAATTCCCCATAGATGTTCGACTGGGTTCAAATTAGGCGACCGATGACGTCAAGCCACAAACCGGAAGTCTATGTGCCACCAATTTGCAAGTGGGATTACAGCAACTAACAATCTGGAGATCACTGTATC